GGTCCACATTGCTGGTAGTAAGTCTGACTTGTTTCCGATGAGATTTGGACTCCGCCAAGGCTGCCCTTTGTCACAGATTCTGTTCATAACTTTTATGGACAGAATTTCTAGGAGCAGCCGAGGTGTTGAGGGGATCCTTTTTGGTGACCTTAGGATCMCATCTCTGCTTTTTGTGGATGATGTGGTCCTATTGGCTTCATCAGATCCTGATCTCCAGCTCTCACTGGAGCGGTTCACAGCTGAGTGTGAAGTGACCGGGATGAGGATCAGTGCCTCTAAATCCAAGACCATGGTCTCGAGCTGGAAAAGGGTAGGGTGCCGTCTCTGGGTTGGGGAGGGGGTCCTGCCCCAGTTTAAGTTTCTCAGGGTCTTGTTCACGAATGAGGGAAGAATGGAGCAGGAGATCAACAGGTGGATTGGTGCTGYGTCTGCAGTGAAGTGGGAGCTGTACTGATCTGTCGTGGTGAAGAGAGAGCTGAGCCAGAAGGTGAAGCTCTCAGTCGGTCGGTCCACGTTCCTACCCTCATCTATGGTCACGAGCTTTGGGTAGTGACCGAAAGAACGAGATCGTAGATTAGGGATGGGAAATCGTCCCTATTTTCAAATCATAAGATCATGGTCACTGGCCATCGCCGATAGACGATCCAATCGGCTGATAAGACATGYGCAGTTACGTTGTTAAAAAAAAAAAGCAAGCAGCCAGGTCCGCTTATTGCTGAAGCGGCTTTGGGCTTCTTCTTTTATAAAGTCGCTTGAAAATTCTGTGAGTCGCAGTTGAAGCAGAACACAAGGAGTAGTGGGTTCGTCCCTCCCACTCCCTCGTTTCCTAGTTGTCGCTCCCACCCTTGACACTTCAAACACACACACCAGAGCCCAGAGTGACGGGGGAATAAGCAGGGGTGAGGCAGTGCGGTGCGGTCCGGTCCGGTTCAGAACTGTTTAAAGTTATTTGTTCAAATGTATGATTGTTATGGATTATTCATTTTGTAACTAAATGTAATAATATAGCACTATTTGGGTCACTTGTGGCGCACCAAAGCAAGAAGATAATAGTAATAATAATAATAATAATAACAATAATAATAATAATCCATTAGTCTTTTATAGCGCTTTTCGAGACCCTCAAAGAAGCTTTACAATTTTCATGGAACATCTATTCACACACACATTCACACACTGATGATGGTAAGCTACATTGTAGCCACAGCTGCCCTGGGGCACACTGACAGAGGTGGGGCTGCCATATGGCGCCACCGGCCCCTCTGACCACCATCAGTAGGCAAGGTGGGTGAAGTGTCTTGCCCAAGGACACAACGACGGAAACGGCTGGACTGGGGATCGAACCGGCGACCTTCCGGTTCCGGGGCGACTCCCCTAACCACTACGCGACGGCCGCCCTAAAGATGACGAGAAGAGAGACGTGAAGAGGAGCTGCGCATGTTGGCGCTGACTCCGAGAAAGAAAAGAAAAAAAACAGAGACGCAGCTCTCTATATTAATTATTTTATTCTCTCATTTGCACAGATCACAATGATGATGATTAAAACATTTTAATTTACAGAGAAGGGCGCAAATAAAATTTGTTTTACATCCCTGGCACGGCATTTAATTAATTATTAAAGATCGCCCTTTAAAAGAAATCGCATTCCAACCCTTCAATCGCTGATAGACGAGTGAATCAAAAAATTACGCCATCCCTCTCGTAGATACAAGCAGTAGGGCTGGGCGGTATGACCTCAAATTCATATCAGGGTATAAATTGAATCCCTTCATGGTAACAGTATACAGTATATCGTGGTAGAAAATTATCATGAAAGGTTAAGATAATATAATTTTTAGAGCATTATTTTTGCAGAAAACTGTAATCTTAATTAAACCCAACATTTTTGCTTTAATATAAACCTGCCAAACAATGAGCTTCTGCCTGCTGAACATATCAGCTGCTGCTCTACTGTGCGCTCATCATCATCATCATCTTCATCATCAGAGCAGAAGCTGACTTTATATTAGCAAGATGGATTAATGACTGAACAAACGTCCACGTCTTTTTTTTTAAATCTCTTTGGGTAATAATACATAAAAACATTTTTTTTTCTATGACAATTGGGTGTGAAAAACTACAGTTGTTAAAGCTTCGCTCTGCGTGACGTGCAGCAGGAGGGAGGAGGAAATTATCCTGCGACACGACGTAACTTTTCTACAGCGGGAGGGGGAAATTTTGAGGATTTATCCAGGATTCCCCCAGATGAGCTGGCCCAAGTGGCTGGAGAGAGGGAAGTCTGGGTCTCTCTGCTTAGGCTGCTGCCCCCGAGACCTGATCCCCGATAAGCAGAAGAAAACAAACGGACGAACTAATATTCCACAATGTGTAGCACTAACTATCAGCTGTAATTATAATCATTTATGACTACGGTTGATTATCTGTGGCAGCCATTTTGAATTGATTTGATTATAATAGTAAAGTATACATAGTACATAGTGTGTATACTGTATATATA